TGAAAAGTGAATAAAACATCTTTGCAAAATATACTTATTATTTGTAAATACATACACCATGCACGTACCCTCATTGGATCAGGTTGCATTGCTCAAAGAAACATGCTTATCTACTTATTTAGAGTACTCATGATAGAGTTCAACTTAAGAAAAAAATAAATACGGGTGCAAATGTCGCAGAACAATTTGGTTAGAAGAATATGTACACTCAAAACTAAAATTTGTCAAATCAGCACCGCCGGTGTCAATATATGACTTAACCGCCTTGGTTACAATTACGATTCCGAGTGGTGATGGAATTTCTCCGTCCGGTCATAACATTATAACCACCGGTATCAAAATCATAACAACTCGGATACAATATTTTAACCAAGGCGGTTAAGTCATATATTGACACCGGCGGTGCTGATTTGACAAATTTTTGTTTAGAGTGTATTTATGATTGCCAATTTATGCATTATGTAAATCGCCCTACTACTTTGTCGGGCTTCACTGTCATGTCAAAACGTGGGATATATTTATGGGAGATCAATGAATTATGTCACTCAAAAATCGGGATTTTCTAGCCCTCACCTCCCCCCCTTCAACATGTGTCACGTAGGCACGACATCTTTGGAGCCTTTGGCGCCCCTCCCCCCTCTCGCGTGACATAATTTATGGTCTGACCCTAATAAATAAAATTGCAATTAATTTGACTGATGCTGTTTGCCTTGAAATAAAAGATTGGGTTGTATATAAATTAGTGGTAATTTGGATAAGTTTAATTTTTGGTCTTCGGCAGTTTAAAATCCATTTTGGGGCAAAAGAGAGTCATTCAAAGGGCCCAGAAATTAAGCCTTTTCGCGTCATGCTCCTGTCTCACATGCTGCACATTCCATATTCAATATGCACTAGGATAAATAGAAAGTATGGAAATTTAACAAATGTACATCTCGATCATGTAACAATAAACGAATGTATTTCTCTTTCACTCTAAATAAAAATACCTAAAATTTACTCAAGGTTGAGTAAAAAAGAGGATGACACAACCGAAAGATAAAATTTACCCAGCCGTTGGGCAAAATTTGCCCATCCGTTGGGTAAATTTTGCACAACGTTGGACAACTTTTGCCCAACGGTTGGGCAAATTTTACCTTTCGGTTGTGTCATCCTCTTTTTTACTCAACCTTGAGTAAATTTAAGTTATTTTTATTTAGAGTGTTGTTTTGCGGAGTCTAATTTTTGTGCCGAGTCGCACTTTGGCAACAGTTTGATTACATCAGCTTGACACAAGTTCTTCACATGTAAACATAAACATTGTTGATACAATTGTTTCCAGTTCAAGTAAATTGGCTGTGTGCCTTAAAATTCAAGGTAGAAAATGACATACTAAGCCCTGTTGGTCTGGTGGTTTGAGGGTGGGACTGTCACCACGCAGTTTCGCGTTCGAATCCTGGGCCAGGGAAACTTAGTGAATCCTGCTCGGCTCGGTGTTAGTACGGGGTGGGTATCAATACCTGCGTGACTATACCGGATTTCTAAGCGTGTACCGAGCAAAAACGCCCTTCAGACGCATCGTGTCAAAGTTCATGGCGATGATCCATTCGTTTGCGATGAGTGGTAATACACACATGCATACAGTTTCTTGCTTTTTTGTGCAAACATGTGCAAACTTAAATTAAGAAAAGTTCCTTGAAATATTCAGCGCTGCAGTATTTACATCCTTGCTCTTTTTGAGACGCCGTAAGAAGAGGCACGTAGCGAACAAGGAGCAGATATGCCAGGGAAGAAGTTATCTTAAAGATTTATGTTAATATAAAGTTTCAGAGCTGAACATTTACATACATATATAAAAATATTAGAAATATTTCATTGTATAAAAATATATTTTTTTATTCATAATTCATTCATTCGAAAATAGAAAAAAATTATTCGTCCTTTTTCATCTAAGTATTAAAAATTCAAGCTAAATATTTATTTTGGTACTACTTTTTTATTCATTTTATCTCAAATTCTTCGATAAGTTTCCCAGATATATTTTCAATATAATAAGAATCTATTGAAAAATGAATGATGAATGCAATTATTCATTCAGTATTCATTCGTTGAGAGTTTTGAAAAAATGTGTTCTATCCCGAGGTGCACCAACCGAGATAAATACGTGTATTATTGGTATCTCCGGTGTCAATTTCGTATTGGGAGACTACCCTAGTGGCACTCCCCGTGATAAACACGAGTCAAAGTGGGGCAAATTAGTGTCAAATACGTTTAAGGGTAAAATTGGTGTCTTTATTTTTACAAACTCGTTTCAAACACGTGTAGAAGTTCCCAAAGTTACACCAGCTAACATTTCAATAAGTCCATCGTATAAAACTCGTGTTAAATTCGTTTCTGCCACGTGTATTTTTAGATTGAAATACATAAGTTTACACGTGCTTTTTTCGTATCTAAGACGTGTAAATTTGACCCCGTCTTGGCGGCATTGGAGGGAGGCTGCCATTGCTTCACAGCAGTGCGACAAATATTTTTACTTTATTTAAATATGAAGAGCTCTAGCAGGCGACAATTAAATCGGGAAATAAATATTGCATTAAGTGATTTTAAAGCAGTTTGTTCGAATTCCTCATTAATCGAACGACCAGTTGGAATATCAAATCCTTTAACAACCCCGGAATTAGTGGGCACTTTCTTATCCGACGAAGAAATACCTTCTGAATCTGAGTCGTATAATAGCGACCATTTACCTTCTGAAAGTGATGCAAACAGTGATAGTGATTTTGAAACAATATATAGATATCCGACCATCACTTCAAAGTTGGGCAATTTGTCACAATATTACTAACTCCGCTACCAGTGATTTATTAAAATTACTCCAACAACACCAGTGTTTTAGTGATTTACCTGTCGATAGCAGATCATTGGTACAAACCCCCAGGAAAACAATTCTATTTAGTGTTAAACCTGGCCAGTATTGCTCATTTGATTGGATTAAATCCATTCAGGAAATAATTCTTAATAGTTCTGAAGTGATTGAAAATAATACCATTTTGTTACAAATAAATATAGACGGAATTCCTCTCTATAAAGGTTCGGCTCATCAATTTTGGCCGATTCTTGGTTCAGTTGGGGCTAAAGTATTCGTGATTGGTATTTACTCTGGCGAAGGGAAACCAGAGTCAGTTAACAGCTATTTATCTGATTTTATCGAAACCCACTTGCAAATATCAACAGTATAGTGGTAAACGGGGATAATTATAGAATTAAAATTAGTGCTTTAATCTGTGATGCTCCTGCTCGTGCCTTCGTCCTTGGTGTAAAGTGTCACAGTGGATATAGTTGTTGTGGAAGATGCACAATTAAGGGTGTGTATTATAAAAATCGTGTAATTTTTCCATACGGTAATTATTCCTTAAGGACAAATGAATCCTTCAGACAAAAAGATGATCCAGCGCACCACAACGAAACCACCTTAATTGAGAAAATTACTACTTTAGATTTCGTTAGAGATGTCCCTGGTGAATATATGCATTTAGTTTGCTTGGGAATAGTTCGTAAAATCCTATATCTTCTTACAAAGGGAAAAAAGTGTCCTGCACGTTTACGTCCTCATCAAATTAATATAATTTCAAGCCAGCTAGTAGGAGTAAAAAAATATATTCCCAGTGAATTTGCACTAGAAGCCTAGAATTCTCAAAGACCTGGACTACTGGAAGGCAACTGAGTTTCGTCAATTCATCCTATACACTGGCCCAGTTGTACTAAAAAATAATATTTCAAGCGACCTGTATCAAAATTTTTTGTGCCTTCATGTAGCGGTGACGATTTTGTCCAGCAAAATTCTTAACGACACCCTGAACTATTATGCTGACCAACTACTTCATTATTTTGTAAAACATTTTGGTCGTCTGTACGGGCAAGAAAACTTGTCATTTAATGTGCACGGTTTACTACATTTAGCTAATGATTGTAAAAATCATGGCCCAGTTGATTTATTTAGTGCTTTTAAGTTCGAAAATCAGTTGCAAATAATAAAGAAATTAGTGAGATCCTCAAATTGCCCCCTGCAACAAGTTCATAGAAGACTTGTGGAGAGGGAATCCCAAGCGGATAAAGCATCATGCCGTGCACTCCTGCCTCGTCTCTCCAGTCCCTTCAATTTCTCCTCGCCTCTCCTTCCTAGTAATACTCAGTATTTTAAACAATTTAATCATACATTATTTAAGGTTAAAGTTGGACAGAGCGATTCTGTGTGTGAACTCGAGGATAAAAGTGTTGTAGTTGTTAGAGCATTTTTTAAACAAGGAACACGAGAATTATTTTTAGCACAAAAGTTTCAAAATACCTGCAACGCTTATAAAACCCCTTGTCTTTCGGCCGAGGTAAATATTCGACGAGTTTCAAATCTTAGTGCAATAACATTATTCGACACTACCAGAATATTACGAAAGATTTTTCTCTTGCCAATTGGAACAGAATTTTTTGCAGCCCCGCTAAATCATTTATAAAAATATCATCCAACAACTCCTTTGTTCTCGTTAAGTTTGAGGAAACAAATGAAGTAGAAGTGGTATCGACCGCCTGGTTACGCCAAAATAATAAAAAGTGCGCTTGGCCAAATTATAAAAATTCCAACCGTCTGGTCAAAGCGGTCAGCTTACATGAAGCTGTTCAAGAGTGCTGGTCACTTCATACCATCAAATTACTCGGTAGTGGTCGACAATTTGGTAAGTACCTTAAATTATTTGAGATTTTATTAGATTTTGTATTGCATGCAATGTCTCATTCTAAATTAAAATTAATTGGCAGGCTTATTTTTTCAGTTTCGTATCATGACGCTCTTTCAAAGTTGCCTAAAGTTCTGGATCAATCAGACGCAGAAATTAACAGCGATGGGGGAAGGAAGAGCTGAAAATGCAACAAAAACACAACTTACAGTGATTCATCTGACGATGAAGTAAATAATCCGGATTCTTTTACCCTGCCACCACCACCCGTCATTGCACATGGTTCAAAAGGTTTAAAATAAATTATCTTATTGGATGAAATTAATTTTCATTAAGCTTAACATTTCCATTAACTATGCAGACACTGATAAAATCAACAAGTTGATCTTTGACTCGGCAAAAAAGTATGACCCACCTCACAGCTCCCCGATCCCGTTCACTCTTGGCTTAGGTAATAATAAATTAAAAATGAACAAAACAATGCTGGTTCAACTTTTCTGTATTGCTTTATTTTGATCTATTTTAGTTGGGGTAGAAAATCTTGGCACTACAAACGAAACTATTTCTGATTCAGATTCGTCACCTGACCATGTTTTGAATGAGCTTCAGGTTCCGGCTACTACTGAATACAGAAACGATAACGGTGGGGATAACCGGGATGATTCTTTTGCTGCCACCCCTTTGCAAAATTGTCATCCAGGTATAGCACATGGTTTTTATAACTCTTTTAATATGAGCTACAGACAATTCGTTGTGCATATGTACATATGTAGGTAATGAATAACTGATTTCCCATATGCATATGTAGATAAGGACTTTCAAAACTGGGTGGCTAGAAATATTACCATTTTGAAAGCTCAGAACCGACAAATTCAGAACAGTCTTGACGGTATTCTATTACAACTTGGGGATAGGACTGAATATAAAAATTCCCAACCAAAAAATGTTCACCACGAGTTACCACGCAACACTTTGGATGATGTTGAAAATGGAAACAAGGTTTATTCTTCTTCAGATAGTCGGGAATCTTTAGTAAGCCAGAAATTCTAACATGTTTAATAATTATGACGTAAAACTGTTTAGTTACGCATGCACTTAAATTAGGTACAATATCTCAGCCAGAAGGGGGGAAAGAGTGTCTCTTCGTGCACTCGGAAGGTGCTATCTTGTTTGTGCACCGATGAATTGGCCTGTAACTACAAATGGATTGGATCGCGTGGTGGCAAAGTGGGATTTAAGGAGACATGGATGAAGTCAATTATTTTGGGCAAGTCATTCACAAATTCTCCTGGATTTACTTGGAGTATAATTTTTCTGTCTATAGATTCTGTTAGGCTATATCACGCCAGGAAATCGAAGCAGGTGACAGACGACGAGGTGGAAGAAGTTATGAAGGAATGGCTAAAAACTGCGCCGAAAAGACTCAAACCGTAAGAATGATGGTTTCGAAGTATACGGAGAAATATACGGATAAATACGGATAAATGTTACCTAACCTGATTATTGATTTACAAACAGAACTGGACGACCCGATGGATGTTCCGGAAATGAGCACATTGCGGAAGATGAGGACATGTCGCATCGTCTGGCCTAATATCGTTTTTATCATTTGGTTTTGCGATTAATCTAAACTTAAGACCGTATAAATAAAGGGAAACTGAAAAATTCTGGTGTTTTTTCATATTAATTTCACGTGTAATATACGAGTTTGTGTGCCTTCAAATCACGAATAATCATCCAAATCGACACGAGCATGACACTGAAAATATCCGAATTAAACACGTGTCATTCCATACTTTTCACCCAGATATATACGAGTTTTTTTCGAGTTTAGCCCTCTAAAAGTGGGACATCTACCATGTAAATTCTCCCACTTTGACTCCTAATTCGTTCGTGTTTTACACGACTTTTCGGGTTCGGATTCTCGTGTTTTTTTATGAATAAAACTCGGGTATGTGCTACTAGGGTAATTCGTGTAATAATTTTTATAGACACGAGAATAATTCGTAAAATGAAACCGAATTACACACGACTTAATATTTCCAAAATTACTCGTGTCTTCCACGTGTTAAATTAGAGAAACTTGAACGAGTCAATACCATTTACTAAAAATACGAGAAAATCACGAAAAAGTTCCGTGTTACACATCATGTGAAGCTAAATAACGCCCCAAGTTCATCAGCGGCTAGTAGAGAAGGAGCAAATTCAGTCCTCGTTGCCCAACCATCGTCCATCCCTACCAGAACTACTCAGCCTGGATATTACCTCGGAGCAAGGCCGTCAGTGTTTTAAGTGCAAATTTAGCTGCTTTGAACTATCCAACAAGCAAGGAAACAATTTTTGTGAGCTTAAAGACGGAAGTGTGATAAAAATTCGTTATTTCGTCGAAGAAAACAATCGTAAACAATTAATTGGGCAACATTTCAAGACTACTGAAGATTACTTTGTCTCTCCATGTCCATCATCATTAATTGGTGTACAACTTGTGTCAAACTTGAGGAGTACCCTCAAAAAGTATGATGTTGAGATAATTGAATGCAAATGTGTAGCCCTTCCGTACGATTCTAAATTTATTTGTTGCCCTCTGATTCACAGTAAAATTCAGTAAACCTGCAAGATGCATTACTCAATTGTAAATTTTCCGGACACCGACGAGGTTGAAATTATCCCCATAAATTGGTTGCTCCCTTCTTTGGATCAATGTTGGTGGCCGCCATATAAATCAATGGATCGACAAGTAAAAGCTGCGATGGATGCTGACGAGCCAAACATACAAACATGGAGTTTATTCAGTGTCGCAATACTAGGAGGAGGTAAAAAATTTGGTAAGTGTCTCTTTTATTTCAGTGACGAAATCTGTCATGAATATAAAAATATTGACCATTTATTTATGTGCATATTTAGGCACATATCAACAAGCCAAACATAATATCGGAAAGGCATTGGACGAAACGGATCCACCATTCGAAAGTGAAGTCGAAACAAGTACTCGTGCGCTGCCCCATACAAAACCTCGCAAGAATTATTCTTCAAGCGAGTCCGACGAGGAAGAGGAAAACACTGGAAATGCGAATAAGAAGCCAAAGTTTTCACACCTTTGGATGAGAATTCGGACCTTGAAAGACTTGAAGATTTTGTCAAAGATTCGAAGGCTGCACTGGTAATATATTTCACTGACAATGGAGGTCTCCCAACGTATGCTCACCGATATGGACCAAATTAGTGTCAATCGATCACAAATATAATTAGTATGAAATTTGTAAATGCAACTATCTGCCAATGCGCATGTTTGGCAAAGATATTTGCATTTAAAAGAGGGGAAAACGCGCCCAAAGGCAGGGAAATTTTACACTTTCCCAATTTCCCGCTTTGCAAGCAAATATCTCCGTCAAACCTGCGCATTGGCAGATAGTTGTATTTGCAAATTTTATCCTAATTTTAATTGTGATCGATTGACACTAATTTGGTCCATATCGGTGAGCATACGCTGGGAGACCACCATTGTGAGTAATAAATATGTATGTCATTAATTGTAAATACACAATATCTTCTATCGTACAGATTACCGAACTGCAAAGGGGGATAAGTGGTACGAAGAAACTGAGCAGTGAAACACAACGGATCCTGAAGAAATTAATGACTGATAAATTTGCTGCTACTTACACTTGGATTGCTTCAAGAGGAGGAAAGTTGGCTTTTCCTAAATCTTGGCTAAAGCAAATAATTTTTGGTATGTTAAGCTGTATTTTTCATAATAGAAATTAAGAATTCCACGCAATTCATATGCACAACATTTTGATTTCAGAAGCCATTCAGGGAAGATTGGTGAACCCCGATGACGACGAAATTGCACAGACAATTAAAAACTGGCTAAAAGGTTGCACCAAGCGTATTGAATCTAATAAGTATGAATACATATGTATTGTTTTAAAATTATCATTAATGTTTATTAATATGAAATCTTTTATCAGCAAACGACTTGCGAAACGTAGCGACCCTCTACCCTTGACAAATTCTCCATCGGTCTACAACTAGTGATTGGCCCTCATTGTTCGTTTTTCCGTGAAATTTATTATATAAATTAATGTTATAATAGTGTGATTGGTTTGCAATAAATTCATTAATATTCAAAAGTCGAACAAAACAAAAGTCGTGTTTGTAACGTGTAAATTTGGTTTTTATTTGGGGCAATTCTCGTGTCTATTTAATGTAATTCCCGTGTTTGTTACGTGTAATTCTCGTTATTAAATTCCCAGACTCGTTCTTCATTTACGTGTTAGGAACGAATTATGAACGTTAAAAAGAGCGACATGCGACACCTGTTTGGCACGAAATCACCACCAGTTTCATACGTGTACAACACGAAAACTGGGGTGCTCAGATTCGTTCCAAAGTCGTGCCAATCTCGTGATGGTGCAGCTCGGGATATTATTCATGAATTTATTGAATTAATAAATGAGTATGAACAATTAATAAGTTCCCAACTCTGTAAATTGGTCAATTTTTTTGGACAGATTTGCGACGCCAGTTACTCCTCCAAGCCGGGCCTAACCACGCACATGACGTCGCACTCGAGCGGGCGCCCGTTCCCGAACCCCCACTGCGACAAGTCCTTCAAAACCCGGAGCACACGAGGCGAAAACGTGAAGCGCATCCATAGCGCGAACTTTGTCGTCAAAAAACCCCACAAATGCGTCCATTGTGGGAAGAAGTATCCTCGCAAGTCGTATCTGGAGGGGCACAATCGTTCCGCGCACACTGGTGAGCGCCCCTTCGCCTGCGCGGAGCGTGGAAGGGGCTTCGCGCTGGGAACCATGTTGACGGAATACCTAAAAGATGCGCATGGTATGGGCAGGGTCGGAAAGGAGAGGTTACCCAGGTCCAAGAGAAAACGTAGAGGAGGAATAGGGTCACAATTCAGGAGTTTTAATGAAGACACTTGATTTTAATCAGGATTAATCACTAACATTAATGGCTAGTTTCATTAATAGGATTAGTGAATTAATTAATATAATTTTTGTCAGTTAATTAGTAAGATATACGTAAGTATGCGTAAGTAACTTATGAGAGGATTGAGAGAAATTAATTTGAAAGGATATAATGAAGAAATTTTAATTTAATGTAGATTAGTTACCTACTATTATTTATAATTTTACTATTCATAACTAATTTCTGAGACGAATAAATATCATGGAAAATTAATTACGAAGTATTCAATGGTTTCGTAAATTTCCCAGGTCGAAGAGAAGAATTTGGAAGGATTATTCAATAATCAAAAGTATACTTTTGATCCATCGTTATAACGATGGATCTTGTTTTTAATTACTAATTATCTGTAATTGTGCTATTGATTATTAATTCATAATCAAATATTGAGACAAGTAGGTAATCAAATATTAACCGATTACATAAAATTGATTGTTGATTACATACGTTAAAAAACTTTGAATGGGAAAATTTCACCAGGGGACGATCATATATTACAAAAAAAGCCCGTTTTCATGTCGGCCAATCACCTCTTCCCTATCCTTCGGAATAAGGGGATTCGATCTTCCCCATTTCTCGGTACCGATTGTATACCGATGTCGTGTCGGTACAAGGATATCGGTACCTTGCCGGCACGGTTTCGGTACAGGTGGAACCGTAGATATAGTACCGATGTCATGTTTGTACAGTTTTGCAGGTACAGTCTTGGTACCCAAAATTTGTTCCTAACCTGTAAGGTACCGATTTCCCTGTACCAGCACGAAATCGGTATACAGTCGGTACCGAGAAATGGGGCAAATCGGTACAAAATCGGCACTGGTCATGTGCTAGTATGTAGTAGGGTATATTATGACGTAAAACAGGTAAAAGGAAGGCTCTTGGGCCCTGTTGTTCTCGCTATTGTCGAACTCTTCCCAAAATAAGTTCCCCATGCTATGTACACATGCCATGTTTACTTTCCCGCATTTCAAGGTTGCGAATTTGGCCAAATGTATTTCAATGCATTGTATGTTTACATTAACCATTGCTATTTCATTTAAGTATAAAGTTCAATTACTCAATTTGTTTGTTTAAGGCGTCACCCAATAACGAAGTGAAAGGTGGAAATGTACATAATAAACACAATCAAATTAATATCGACATCAATCCATTAAATGGCGTTAATGCGAGTGTAAGTGTTTTTTATTCATTTTGCTTTAACATATTTATAAATATTTGTCTCACTTCAAATAATTATTTTTTTGTTTATCCTGACTTATCACAAACTAACAAACTTTCCTAAGCCATTCAAGGTTGCCATAAAATGTACGGAAAAAAGGTTTCCACCATTCACGAAATGAAACCCCAAAATTCGCCCAAAATCTCCAACATTTTTCGTTCCAATTTTAATTTTTGTTACTACACTGGTCATTGTCCATTCAAAATTACACCATATTTATCCCAGTCTTCTGGCCTATTCTCAAAATTAGTATGCGGAATAACTTTTCTCCTCGCATTTATGAAAAAGATTTCGAAACTCTTGCTACAGCTGAGAAGATCACACGGGCAGAATCCAATTGACTACATTTTCACATTAAAATCTGCCGTCTCTGTAGTCACAATTGTAAACTTGTATTACATTGTTTTCAAAATGGGAAAGGAAATACAAAATCTGTTACTCCATTTGGGTCACATGCAGAGTAAAAATTGTTGGAATATTTCAAAAATTTGGGATTGGAGACTTAAAATGGTACCTTGGGTAGAAGCATTTATTGGGGAATGGAGAACCCAATTTTTAACTAAACCTCTTTCATTTCAAGGTTTGCTGGCTCCCGTTCTTATACAGTTTAGGGATGGTTAGCCAAATCTACGCCATCTATGAGGGGATCATGACAACACTTCCGCCCAGACAAAGTTTGATATTTGAGACAAATTTTCATCAGAGCTATGCAAACTTTATGACAACCCAGATGACAAATTCTACCACCGTTTCAATTTATCCCGGCTATTTAGATACCTTCTTAGGTTTGGTGGATATTCTCAGTTCCATTTTTAGAATGCATGTTGCCTACGATGTGGACTATCTCTTATTTACCGTCGCATTAGGATTGTGGGTACCATGTAAATATTTTTCAGAACTGTTGAAGGACGTGGGGAACAAGGATGCCTCCGCAATATTGGAGATGTTTGACGACTTGACTATATATTTGGGTTTGTTGAACGAAATTTTTTCTGGGCTGGTAGTTTCAAACGTGGTGGATGTCGTGCTGTATTATTCCATCCATTTGATGGACTTGGTGATCGTGCCGTCAATTGTGGATAGAGCTGCGTTAACGACTTCCATCTTATTTACTGTGGGGACTTTTTATTTTGCGGCGGAATCTTGTGCAACTGTTGGTTTTAGTTCGGTGTGGTTAAGAAATTGGGGAAACGAGTAACCTGTTTTTTCTAAAAATAAATACGCTTTGATTCCTATCAGCGAAATTTGCCTAGATTTGCCAAACAAAAGAATCGGCATTTTTAAGGAATTGTTTCTGAAGTAATTTTTGAAGAAAAAATGGTTAGATTGTTCCCACATTTGTAAAAACTCTGTTTAATTAATTTAATGAAGGTGTTTCAAATTTATTTATAAGTTGTTTGTATTTCAAAGGTTGACAGCTTAAAAAATTGGGTTTCCAAGGAAAGAAGGAAGCCAGGTGTTACTATTTTGAAGGATCCTGCAATCCTATCATCTGTTCGGGAAGACGTGGCTGATAACTCGTTGGGACTTTGCGGAGGGAGAATATTTGTTTTTAATTATTCATTAGTTATCTCGGTAACGCATAATTCAGCAATTTAATGAAACAATATGTTGGTATATATGCAATTAACTGATGGTTTTCATTAACCGCTCTGCTGCAGGTGGTAAACACAATTTTCACAATTTTCACTCTATGTGTGCAGTTCAAACTCAAGCCGAATGTTACTACGACTTCAACCAAAATTAAAAATTAAAATACTGGTCGTATTAGTCATAAATATTAGAAAATCGTAATGATTCGAAAATTTCGCAAATGACCGTCCTTATTTAGAGTAACATCATACCCAGATTTTCAAATTTATTTTGACAGTAAATAATGGTTCCTATGCGCCAAATAACTAATGGATTAAACCATCCCTCTCTCTTTAGTAAATATGAATTGACGCTCAATTCTTTTGTGTACATATCTACGATTTACAACTAATTTAATAAAAAATCTCATCTGCGGAAAATTATTTTTCGTAGATTATCAATTTTGGTTGGCCAGCTGAATAGTCTTCTGTGATGATACGTTTGTATTACGTGCCCCAAGCGCCTATTTCAAGATTAAAATATTGTTTTAGTACGTACACGAAAGCTTTGTCCTTATCATCTGATATTACCGCAGCTGATGACGAAGGCGAATATGAAATACAGCTTCATTTTTTGGACGACAATATTCGTATTATCTGGTTAAATGCCAAGGTGAATTGTTACTCGCTGGCCTGGCTGTTTCAATTATCCATAGTCTGATCAGCCCATCTAGGACATGGCCACCCGTCTAGAGATGGGAAACTATGCACATATGTGGGAACCACAGATTTCAATTATTAATAATCATAATGCGGTGACTCGAGCGGATGTTCTTCGATTTTGGCGAAACGACGATGATTATGCAGCCTTAGATACATAATTATACGCGTATTTCAGGATTTTTCGCAACGCTCGGCGAAACGAAGTTATGAGGGAACCCATGAGCGAGAATTTTCATTTCTACCTTGAACTTTTTATTGCGAGGGAATTTCAGGGTAAATGTGCAAAACCTCGCTCACGGACTCCGTCCTAATTTCGTTAAAACTGAGCATAATGGAAATCCTGAAATATGCCCTAAATTATGTATCTGAGGTAGCACAATTATCGAACTAAAATCGAAGCGAGACCGTTGGTGTCATTGCATTATTACATACACAGACGGATGGGTCTGCATATACAGATGTGAAGGCTGTCATATTCATATCGTAATCATTTATTAATATTGCAATGCTCAGAATGCTATAAAAGTTGCAGTCGCCCTCCATTGCTTAGGATTAGGACTTCGTTCCCCGTTTGAGCTGCAAGTATCCCGTGTGGGCTCATTCATAATATATTAGACCTGCATGCTTCTATGGGCTCCAGATCATAAAATACTTTAAATACTGAACATAATAGGACAGCGTTCGAGCAACGCGTCAACACGTTTGGGCCTATTTGACCTCAAGATTAAGTATTTACGTGTCTTCCACGACTCATATAAATTGACTTAAACCATCGATTTATCTTTCACACCGAATATGAACATATCCTCAATATGTTGAGCAATTTTCCTCTCTGACAAACTCTATAACGTTGTACGAGTCTTTTTTGAAGTTAAAAAGTTGCTAGGCGTATCCCAAAAATTAAATAAAATCTATTAATTATTTATTTATATGGTACGCAACCCAATTGATTCGAGTATGGGCTAGTATTGATTCTGTAATAATTTCCTCTTGGATTGATGCTAGTTTGTTTCTACCCTTTTTTCAAGCAACACCGGGATTTTGTAGTGAGTTGTATGAAAAAATCGAGCCAAAAATTACAGTTAAAGTGGCGCTTAGCATTAGTTGTATGGTCTTCTTGAAGAAAAATATCGACGTCAAAATTCAACTTTTTAGTAAATTTATTCTCGAGTTTTCCTCCACCAGGCGAAAACAAAGGCTGAAGCGCGGACGGTGCCCCCAGGCTTTTGGTACAAAGAGGCTATTTAATAGGCTGATAAGTGCCACGTGAGTTGCCTTTGACCTTTAGGTTGATTTTTTGATATAACTCGTTACAAAATCCCGGTGTACCTTGATTAAAAGTATATGTTGTAAAGCTTGCATTACAATACCTATAGAGTAAGAATTATACGTTTCAACAACGAAATCCACCAATAATTTCAGAATCTTGAATCAAGTATTTTAAGAAGTTGCTACGGTCAATGTGTGCTGATCAAACCAATTTTTTCGGTGGGGAAATTACCCTGGGGGGCCTTATGGATTTAAAACATGTGTAGGGAAGCAGATTTCTCTGGAACTGGTGGATGGAGTTACAAAATATTTTCGTTGTAGTAATCTTTACCCAAATACCTCCACCCTTTTCGGTGTTTCTTCAAATATCACGTTTCAACTTCGGAAACCAAATTTAAAATCGAAATAAAAAATGTTCAGAGTTATCGAAACTAATAATAATTTTTTAAATTTGGTTTCCAAAGTTGAAACGTGGAATATCGGGAAAACACTCAAAAGGGGACGAGGTATTTGGGTAAAGATTACAACAACGAAAATATTTTGCAGTTCCATTCACCCGTTCTAGAGAAATCTGCTTCTCTATCCCTATGTACACATGCTATAAATCCATAAGACCGCCCAGGGTAATTCCTCCGCCAAAAAAATTGGTTGTCTCATCACACATTGACCCTAACTACATCTTAAAATACTTGATTCAAATTGTGGAATTATTGGAGGATTTCGTTGTAAACGTTTAATTCTTACTCTATACTGAATGTAGGTTGCCGGTAGTGCCAAATACATTTGTACTGCCGGCAGTGATACGAGTTCGCTCATTCGTGACTACTTAGGTATGTTATAGGAGAGTATGTTTCTTATACAGGGAGCACAAACTTTCTCGAAGATTTCAATATTCACTGCTAAACTACGCGATATATTAACGGCTTCGTCGTACACGTCAGTTTGCCACGTACTAACGAAAGCGAGTTTAGGCCTCCGCGCTTTTCCGTTCAGTTTCGATGGTAGATATGCGTCTCTTAAAAATTCGAAGTGCGACAAATTACCACGTATCATTGCCCTTGGAGCAGTTTTGTGCCAATGGATTATGTGCTATGGATGCTTACGAAATCAGTTGAACAGTTCGGGTACCCCAATTTGGAAAGCAGTAATTGTCACATTTTTCCTTGTCATATTTGCAGCAGTGATTATTTTCATGCTCCATTTGGTCCGTGTCAGTAATGATGTCGTTTGCCTTTTGAATGTTTCAGAAGATGTGGAACGGGAGTATCGAGAGAAAGGTTAGAATTTTCTCTTACTAAAATAACTTTTGATGTGGCCATGCGACTATGAGGCCAGGAAGAAGAAGGTAAAAACTACATGATTTTCTTAATTTTGGAAAAGTGCTTATCTATATTTATATTGACAAATAAGTACTTATTCTACTAAGGGGTGTTTTGTTTAACATGTGTAAAAATTAAAATAAACATTGGAATTGATCAAACAACTTAACCCCACCCCGGGGACCGGTTTAAAACCACCAAAATTAGCGCTGCCTACGTTCAAAGGCATGCATCATGAATGGCCAGCATTTAAATTTGCATTCACCACCATGGTAATTGACTCCAACAAGTTCTCTGACTGCGAAAAGTTACGACTACTGAAGGATGCACTCAAGGAACCAGCAGACGATAATTTAAAGGATCTTCAGTGTACGGATGGCAATTTTACGATCGCATGGGATCGGATGACGACCCGCTATGATTCACCACGGGAAAGTGCCCATGCTGCGGTAAAACCATTGCTCGAATTACCACCACTCATGTCACAAACAGGGAATGGGCTATACAAGCTCGTGGCCACGGTTCGAACAACGCGAGCTCAAATTCAACTCCTAAAACTGGGGAAAGTAACGGAGGCCGAAGTGCTTTATACATACCATATTCTCACTCGCCTCGATGCACGTACAATTAAGGATTTCAATCAGTTCCATACATCAAATGACATACCGACCCTGGACTCCATCATGACGTGCCCGGAACGCCAAGCCAAGACGATAGATTTGATCCAAGGGCTTAAACCTCACTCCATCACCAAAACCAATGGACAAAAAAGCGGACGAGACCGTCACGATGCACCCTCGGCCCTTGCCATCCACGAGTCAAAGGTTCGTTTTCAAGATCAGATTTCACACTCAAAACAGCGTGGACGTTCACCTGCAAGAAAGGGACAGTCCTCCTCACACCAACAGCGACGAGATCTTCAAGGGAATGGAAACTCACGCCACGGGTCTCCTCATTTTCCACGGGACCGCTCAGCCAGCCCTGGTCAAGGACGACAACGGAATGAACCACGCTCCAAATCCCCCAATAACGCTGCCTCTGCACCATGTGCCGTGTGCGCGAGTACACATCATCGTGCTCATAAATGTCACGAATTTCTCGGGTTCTCCACAACCGCACGTCGGGACTGGACTCGAAGTAACAACCGTTGCTTCAACTGCCTCGGAAATCACTCTGTGAAGGACTGCACGTCCCAATTCACATGTGTTCATTGCAAGAAAAAGCATCATTCCTTACTACATGTCAACGACACGGGAAATCACATCAACACGATTTTCTCCAGTGTGTCTCAACCTATCCATGATGATGACACGAGTATTGGACTTATGCCCACAGCCATTGTGAAGGTATTCCACCCCCACGGAGGAGCTGGTCACACAGCTCGCGTCCTGCTAGATTCCGGAGCTGAGAAATGTTTCATAACAGCATCTGCAGTGAAACGACTCGGCCTTCCCATCCTAGGGACCCTCACGGAATTCATCGTCGCCGGTGGAAATACAACACCATCATTAGGATTTACAACTTTTCGATTCCGTAATAACTTGGCACAATCCACTACTTTTTCTGTTCGAGCCAGCGTGCTACCACAGATCACAGCGTCCATCCCGACACAGAAAATTGACGATTCCAAGTGGCTCCACCTGCAAAACATTCCACTTGCTGACCCCACGTACAACCAGCCTGGCCCGATTGACATCCTCCTTGGGACTACAATTATGGACGTCCTCACCAGTGGGAAGAAACTGGAGGGTGTGGCTGGCACACCCAGTGCCTATTTTACTGAGTTGGGCTATGTAGTGCAGGGAAAAGTGGACATAAAATCTGCATTTACAGTGACCACAAGACCCACACCTCCACCTGCCGCCGGTCTTTCTGTCGCGTCGCATGAGAGACCATTGTTCCAAATGCAACAATTTTGGGACATTGAAGAACTACCTGCTCGTGCACACTGGACCCCTGAGGAACAAGCTGTGGAGGACCATTTTGTAAAAAATACTGTACGCCTGCCCAATGGTAGATTTCAAATCAAATGGCCTTTTTCCGCCAGCCCAAGCCTATTGGGCTCGTCGTACCAACCTGCATTACGACGATGGTTAGCAATGGAACGAAGGCTTCAAGCGGACCCCAAACTGGCTAATGACTATCATGGGCAAATTGAGGACTATATAAAAAAGGGTCATCTGGAACCAGT